ATATTTGGCAACCGAAATTATTCGGCCGAAAATAGCAAAAGAAAAGCTCTTACGCTGTTCGGCCGAATAAGCGAAAAGACAGAATAAATTGTACCGAACAATGACGTGACGCGATCAAATAGAGGTGCGCGCTAATGCAGCAAACATGACGGCAGTGTGGAAACAGCTGTCCGAGAAAGACGCAAAAATCATTACAAGCACCGACAGTGAGAGACTGTTTAGTACTGCATCGCATGTCTTCGATGAGAAGAGGAAGGGTGGTTGTTGCTGGTTACTGTATGATGATTGAAATCGCGAAATGCCCTTAAACAATTAAATAAACTGCAGAATGTTATGTTTTCTAATACACGCAGGAATTGCATGTGTTCAAACAGCGCTGCACAAACTCGCGACGGTAGGGTTCAAAAGCGCGAGGGAAATCTGCGCTGAAACTGTTACTCGTCAGCTGCTCAATAACATTTTTATGAATTTTTTACAAGGCATGTGACAATGCGATATGTGCAACCTGTTGCTCTGTAAAATAAAATAAAAAACGAAAATAATAATGAAAATAATAATTACAACAGCTCTATTAAAACATTTATTGTAACATTTACACAGTGTTCAGACTAGGATCTATATTTTCTAATGTTTTAAAAGAAGTCTCTTCTGCTCAGCAAGGCTGCATTTATTTGTAAGGCAAAAATACATGCCTGATTCAAGAAGGGGGTCTAAAAAATGGCCAAAAAATATTATTTTACTAACTTATTAATTTTAAGTTAAGTTGTGTTTTATTGGTATAATGTCTGCTAGAATGCTAAAAAATGTTCAGTGTTAAGTAAACATTTTTAAATTGTTGTTTTGTAAATTATTTTTTTCTTTAAAAAGCAAGACAAAACAGTAAAACGCACATTTTGGCTATTTAATTTATGCAATGGTGAAAAAATTGGCACAATGGGGGAAAAAACATGAAAAACCGTGTTCGGTATTCGGCCTTTGGCCCAGTGTTTCATTTTGTTCGGCTTCGGCCAAGAATTTTCATTTCGGTGCATCCCTAAAAATTTAAAATATTATTTCCTATTTTAATATATTTTAAACTGCAATTTATTCATTTGATGTCACACTGACATCAAATGAATGAATTTTCAGCAATCATTACTCCAGGCTTTATTGTCATATGACCCTTCAGAAATCGTTGTAATATGCTGATTTGGTGCTCAAGAAACATTTCTTCTTCTTATCAATGTTGAAAAGAGTTGTGTTGCCTAATATTTTTGTTGATACCGTGATACCTTTGTTTTTCAGTGTTCTGAAGAATAGAAAGTTTATAAAACAGCATTTACTTGAAATAGAAATCTTTTGACACAAACGTCCTTATTGTTATTTTGATCAATTTAATGCATCTATGCTGGACATACAGTGTATTAGAATTCACATTTACCTCGGACTACTTTTTCAAGCAAATTCAGTGTGGTTAACTTGTGTGCACCAAAGTTCAGAAAACCACTTTCACACCAACCAAACTCTGACGTCAAACAGACTCTGGCCTGCCCCAAAAGCTGTAGTGCGAAAGCAGTTAAAACGAACCCACTTCCATTCCAACCGCTGTTCTTAAACCACAATCCTCCAAAGGAACTTTCCATTTGCTAAGCTAATAAAGAGCAAGAAAAGTCAGACCGAGAGCAAAAAGAGAGCATTTTAAATGGTGGAGTGTGCTGAACCGGGCCAGATCAGTGCTTTGGCAGCAGCACTTACAGTACTTGCTCTGTATAGAGCGTGTCGGTCTGCCACTGCTTCCACCACTTCCGAGATCGACTCAGCTTGTGTTGTTTGTCAGTTCCCACCGGTATGCATGACTTTATCCCTGTGAAAGAACTGCTTCCAACTCTCAGGGGGAAAAAAACCCTGAACAGAGCTGCTTTGAAGCGAACGCACATACGTGTTGCAGATGTTTGTGGTGCCGACATAAACAAGCACAAGGCATGTGCCATCGGAGCATAGCGAGGCAGATCTTCTTTTTTCTCTCCCCTACTCTGCCTCTTCATTCTTTCCATCTGCTGGGAAAGAAGATAAAGAATAATGCCACTGTTCTTTGGAGTAACCGAAGACCGGGTAATAATAATGACGAGCTTAGCTGCAGGGAGAGAAGTCGGTTGGGCTGAGGTTGCATGGATAATGACAAAACAAGAGCACTCTGGGATTCCTTTACAGGCCTAGCGGCCCAGTGCCTGCTGAGCCCATCAAGGATTATGCAATGCGGAACAGTTAGAGTCAATCAAAAAGAGCCCCCCAGGGAAGAGAGGTAGGATGCTAGATTTTCTCCCACGTGTCCACTTTAATTGCACTCTGGAGAAGAAAAAAAAATGCTTCAATTACAGTACCGTCCAAAAATTGAGAGCATTTTTAAATGTTTATGCTCACCAAGGTTGCATTTATTTGATCATAAATACAGTAAAAACAGTAACATTGTGAAATAGTGTTATCATTTAAAATACCCATTTTCTATTTTAATATATTTTAAAATATAATTTACTCCTCTAAATATGAGATTCCAAATTTATTCATTCAGCAAGGTGTAAAAAAAAAAAAGATAACAGCCATCTAGAAATCTCATTTCCTCATGGTTTAAAGGTGCTGACAACCTCCTTGCTGATTTGTGGATGTGTTTTCATTAACACAAAGTCATCACTGGCAATCAAAACCTGAAAACTGCAGCATGCATCTGCTAAATGCTGTAACATGTTTCCCTATTACTATTTCAGAACCCAATATTCCACCCTAAACTTAATTAATAAATTAATATTTACAGGACAACGTAAACGGGGAGCACTTCTGGGCCCTAATCTCACGGACTCTATACATTTTTCAGTAAGCAGGATTATTGAGGATGTGTGACCATCCGCATTGCTAATCAGAAATAGAAAAACAGCCTCAGGTGAGAGAATGGCAGAAGTGAGGGGTGAAAATGCGGTCAGCGTGCTACTGTCTCTCGCTCTTGATCGCTTTTTGCATTAATTTAATCATAAAAGCATCTGGACAGAATGTAAAAAAATATATACATTCTCTAGATAATAAAGGTTCTTTATTGACATCTTGGTTCCATGAAGAACCTTTAAAATCCATGGAAACTTTCCATTCCATTTTCAAGTTCATTATAGGGGGAAAAGGTTCTTTAGATTTTTAAAATAGTTCTTTTAAGAACTGTTCACTGAAAGGTTTTTTTGGTGAATCAAAAATGGTTATTCTATTTATTTTTAAGAGTGCAGTGACAAAAAAAACTATGAAAGAGGATAAAAATAGCGCTGGCAAACATTTAGCTAATTACCAAATGTAGATAAAAAAAAAGAATGTGTTCACATTTCTGGCAAAAAGACAGTGGTGTTTATGTGAAGTGCTATGAAAAACTAGCCTTAATTAAGGACAATTTTTTATTAAAAACTATTTATGTGGCTCACGCATCATTTTATTTCTGCCCCTAATTTATTTCTAAACACAAAAAAAAAAAAACTTTGTTGCATGAAAACTATTTCCTTGAGATCTGTCACAGGCAATGAGTGCAGTGACCTTGCATAGCATCTCCATTTCGAAAGCAATGTTCACACTTCCCACCAAAACATCATGCAAATTACACGGTCGAACATCTGGCTGCAAACAACACACCAAACTGTGACAGGTCCGTAGCATACAATTTCAGAGAAAGCAGAGGTCAAGAGAGGCACAAAAAGAGACTAAATAAAAACATTCTTAGGTCATATCCGCAGACAAACCATTTCTTTTTGTTTATAAGGGAAGAGGACGGTCGTGCTCACTGGCAAACACATGGATCATCCTGGAGGTTTCAAGCCAGATAAGTTTAATTGTTCTGTGTACATGATGCTGGTATAGAAAATCTATATGCTATGCTGGGTCTCACTGAAATTGATGCTGCCTTCACACTTCTAGGCCAAAGTGAGTGAATGAGGTCCCAATCAATGGGAGGAGACAGTACAAGCTAGCATGCCAGTCAACCATGGAATTACAAAACACAGGTGCCAATCCCTTGGCATTTCATCAAAAAAATATTAGCAACTGGCTTATTAGGCAGGCATGCAGAAATGCAAGCAAATCCCTGTGTAAGGTTAATGAATTACACTTGCAATGCTCCAGAACATACATTTTCCATCTCTGTCTTCAATTCCAAGGAGTAACAGTGCCTTTTAAGAGAAAGCCTATGCAAAACAATCAACCACTGCATGTGTTCACACTCCAGCAAACCGAGCCAAGTGTGACCAAGAGAGAGTTAGTGTCTGACTTACAGCTCCTGCACCTTAAGCTGCTCTAAGAGGCACCTGGTCACTTTAAGCAGGGGGTTTATGGAGAAGTTGGCCACATTTTGACTTTAAACAGAAGTGTTACGGACAAAATGGGTGCTATTGGTCTGAAAGCATAGGTTTGTGGTCCAGTCTTGAAGTTCAGCTCACTAACAACACTATATCTTTCTCTACCATAAAATTCACAGTACAAGAGTGACATACTTTAAAAAACGATCAAGCTTCATTCCACATTTTCCAAAAATGTCAGTAACACAACAAACACGAGTATTTCAGTCATTCATCTGTTTTGCACAACACATCTGAGTTGAAAACCCTAGACAATACCATGTGTATATTTGTGCAGTATTCCTAACGTTTATTAATGCCTTGCTTAATGTTTTCTTCAATATATTCTAGTTATAAATATTTAAAAATAAACACACACACACAACCATGTTGTGTGTAGTAATACTAGTCCATGTAAAACAACAATGCCAAGCCGAATTGAAAAACACTGCCGTGATTAACGATTAACTGATACTTGATACATTACATATGACGTGATACATATCTAAAGCATTAATTATCATTAACACATGGTAAAGTATGAATCAGTCCAGTAAGTAAACAGTGTTTGACTGGTTACTTTATAACGTGGCCGTATGGCTGCTTGAGTTTAGGCTCAACTACCCCCCAGCAAACCGCTTATTGTTCTCGGTTGAAACTCACCCTTTCCCCGGAAAGAAAGGCTGTCAAGCCGAGGGTTAATATCATCCAAACGTTCCTCATAATTCCTTAGTCTTCGCTTGTAAAAACGGAAAATACCGTCCCCGTGTCTGTTTCCACTTTTGGAGAAACTCTTCCCTCTCTCTCGCTCGCGCTCCAATCTCGCTCTCTCACAGGACTCAAATCCCACCGGCTACGTGTTGCTTTTTTGTCTGCTTATTCCTCCGCGCACTTTTTCACACTAAAATAGGTCGTTTTCGGTATGTTTCGCCTAGTCTTTTTACAGCTGCACTCGTCTCGCAAAGGTGAATTTAACGTGATGTCTCTCGGCCATATGTCTGAAGTGGTGCTCTACTGTCGAGCCACCCGCAGGACTGAGAGGAAAATACGGGTCAAACAGAGGGAGAGCTTGAGCAATGATTGACAGATAGCCCGACCATATGCGCTTGGCCGGGGAGGGAGAGCGCGCGAAAGAGAGGAGACGACAAATTTTGTTTTAAGTCATGTCAGATTTAAGTACTAAACCATAATGCTTTTATGACACTATGCTATTTTACTAAATACTATGCTACATAGAAAGTTATTTATTAGTAAATTTTAAATTACTTAAATTCATTGTAGGCTACTATATGAGTATTATGATGTATTTGATTTAGAATGAGACGGTTTTTTTTTTCAGTGAACAGGTTAAACCAGTTTTCCACCTATTTAAACGGAATGAATTGTTCCGAGCTGTTCTCGGAAATGAGTCGACAACTCATTGAACCGTGAATCTGTGCCAAATTCTTAAAGGATTTTAAATTAAATGTTTTTTAAGTGTATTTTTAGGTGTGTACATTCAACAATTGTATATTAGTGGCACTATTAAGAGTATGTACCTGCTAGAACTCACTAAATCAGGGGTGGGCAAACTTGGCCCTTCCAGGCCACTTTCCTTCAGAGGTTAGCTCCAACCCTAATCAAACACACCTGAACCAGCTAATCATGGTCTTCAAGACTACTAGAAGGCTACAGGCAGGTGAGTCATATCAGGGTTGGAACAAATCTCTGCAGGAAAGTGGCCTGGAAGGGCCAAGTTTGCCCATCACTGCACTAAATAAATTGTCAATGCAATGTCTCCCCCTAATGGACAAATGCGTAGCACGTAGTTGTAAACAATATCATGGCGAATAATCCTGTTTTTCACTTCGTAACCTTCACTGAGTGGTCATGATTTTCATTTACTGACGACAACTACGAAACAAAATTAAGCCTGCTAACAATACCATGCATTTGAAAGGAATTATGAAGCAGTAAATTGCTTTGGAATAATTGTACTCTTGCTTCCTGATCTTGAGAACTGCCAAAGGTAACCAATTAACCTCCCTGCACACAAACACATGCACGCCTCCCTCGTCTTGCTTTAAAGTACAAGATTATTATCAGTGGCATCCTAGATTACCCCGCCAGTTAAGGTGATTGTAAAGCCTCTTCTGCCAGAACCCATGGGGCCTTCTTTGTGCCCTTAATAAACTCTTATACATATATCAACAGCTATCCAATGCTTATAATAATACTATAAAATTAATAAACCATTTGTCTAATAGTTGATAATTACCCAAATTTGCATACTTGGCTTTCTTAGTTTAATATATTTGATGATTATTTTTTTTCAATTATTCATTTCCATGAGGACTGAACTGAATAACAACATCGAAAGTGCCACCTAGTGACAGGTATTGTTATTTTTCAATATTAAATATGATTCTAGTCAATAACCATCATGCAAAACACAGTGGACAATAACCAGGGCAACAAATAATAGTTGAAAGAAATTTGCATGTTGTAAAACACACAAACACTGAAAGGTAGTTTTGTTGTCATCTTCCTCGTCCTCAATCTCCTCTTCACTTTGGACTCCCTGAGGCTTCAGTGTCATTGAGCTGAATTGGCTCAAAGGCTTTCCAAGAATTCCAAAACTAAAGGCAAAAGAAAGTACAATCAGGCAACAGAGGTTATTAGAAACAATAGTGAAATAGACACATACTATGGTTTTTAGTAATTGCAAATAATATAACCAAAACATGATTAAGTATTAACTAAGTGACTTTAGCTCTTCTGTAAGCCACTCCATCAGAGCCTCTGAATCAAAGTGTTAAGTTGAGGACACTTTAAGACGTCTGAAGCTCCCAAACAGGTGACAGGCCTCTTCTGGTGGAATAGGCAGCAGAGAGGCCATCAGAGGGGAATGCTGGGTTATGATTTTGTTCATGGCCGGGCGCTGGTTTGACTTCCTGGGTTAAAGGTCAAGAGACAGAGAGGGAGAGTATGAAAGAGAAGACGGGCCAGTAAAAGCATAAATCTTCACTTGAAGTTGCTTGCACACAGAAGTTTATCATGTTACTAGCAACACATCACTTCTAAAACCTCTACATTAATATATGTGTAAATAACAGAGCATTTTTTATTTAATTTTATTTAATTTAGTATAAATGTGTCTCAAAACATTTATATATGTGTGACACAGAGGTAGAGACACTGAGGAAAAGAAAAACACACACTAATGTCATCATGGGAACCATATATGAAACTCTTGGAACAGCAGGTGGTGGCGACTAATATTCAAATACATAATGTTCAAAGACCTCTAAACGTTTGGATACATAATTTAAGTTTTACATATTTCATGAATCACATATGGTATTAGTCAAATGGTTTGCACAAACCACATATAGTTCTGTCACGGTGAGTAGATGACGCCTTGATCCTGCAGACATAAATCAGGCTTATTATTTCCTGAAACATGCTCTCATCCATCACATTGTTCATTAAAGCAGCAGAAACACACATAATTGTTCTCACAGGTATGGTATCAATAGCTGTTCTGACCTGTCAAAAGCCATATGGTGCTGTTGAGGCAGATCTATCCCCAGCAGCAGCCTGAAGTGACAGAGGGCAAGCTGCTTTTGTGCCAGCTTCACCTTAGCACACATTTCTCCAGTCATCTGCCTCTCATGTCCTCTCTGAAAGAGCGGGAAGGGTAAGGATGACATGCTGTTAATGCAATCGTCACAGATTAATTCAATTAAAAGCTGTGTTAGGTTGTTGAATAGGTACATACAAATCTTAATTGTGCCATTTTAGTAATTAAGCACTGCTACTTTAATAATTTCATGCATTTTCATATGACTTAATTCATGCTCAAACTCACCCCATGAGAGACTTTGGTCTTTCCTCCAGAGCTTTTTTCTCAAAGTAGCAAGAAAAGCAGAGCAGGATATTGGCAAGAAACCGATCCAGCTCTTTGCTGCTGTGAATATTTTGGCAAAAAATATTTAGAATCATAGAGCTGCACTAATGTAACTGCAGCTAAAAATGAGCTTTAAATTAACTTTTAATATAACTTAAGACAATAAATAGGAAGAAATCAGTAAATACAAGTAAAAAAGAACAGTAAATAGTATGAAAATATAAAAGTCATCCTCATAGTATTAAAAAATTAAATACATAGTAAAATAAAATAGAATAAAAATTTTAAAACTTACTTTAGCAGAGATATAAAACGTAGAGGAATGGGAAGCATGTACACTCTTAAAAATAAAGGTGCTTCACGATGCCATAGAATAACCTTTTGGTCTAAATGGTTCCATAAAGAACCTTTAACATCTGAAGAACCTTTCTGTTTCACAAAAGGTTCTTTGTGACGAAAGAAGGTTCTTCAGATTATAAAAAGGTAAGAAAGAGATGGTTCTTCAAAGAACCTTTGACTGAATGGTTCTTTGTGGAACCAAAAATGGTTCTTCTATGGCATCGCTTGAAGAACCTTTTGAAGCACCTTTATTTTTAAGAGTAGTTCTCCTGTAGCAAACATACTGCTGCCGCTGCAACACATTAAATGTATATTAAATCATCCTGCTTATGGGAAAAAGTCAATTTTTCATGGCTCATATTGATTTCATTATGTACCAAAGTATACAGACCTACATTTAACATCCTGAATTGTTACACATTCCTTTTGTTAGCATTTTATTGAGGTCTTGAAGGCATCCAATTGAGTGGGTCTCACAGTATTTCTTTGAAAAATGAAACTGAGTAAATGACCATAATGACCACCATGCCAGGAGTGTGAAGTTATTAAGCCATAATTATTTCCTGATGTCTGCCAAACATATGAGCTAACTTTAAAAAAACAGAGTGCTTTTGCCACTTCTCCAGTTGCTTCCTGAACTGCTCTTGGTAGATGTTAATTTTAATTTTTTTTAATTTATGCTTTTAGCAGACGTTTTTGTCCAAAGCAACTTACAGTGCATTCAGGCTATACATTTTTTACCAGTATGTGTGTTCCCTGGGAATTGAACCCACGACCTTTTGCACTGTCAACACAATGCTCTACCACTGAGCCACAGGAACACTCCTGTTGTGTGTTCCTGTAACACACAAGTACAAAAAAAGATGTACTTGTTTTTTAATTCTCTTTCACTTCTTTCTTGGCTTTGAAACTGTAAACAAACAAAACCTAATTAGCTGATTTTGAAAAAAAATGTTAAAATGAATAAATATATAAACACACACACACACACACACACACTTGTCTGATCCGGCCACTTTCCTTCAGAGGTTAGCTCCAACCCTAATCAAACACACCTGAACCAGCTAATCATGGTCTTCAAGACTACTAGAAGGCTACAGGCAGGTGAGTCATATCAGGGTTGGAACAAATCTCTGCAGGAAAGTGGCCTGGAAGGGCCAAGTTTGCCCATCACTGCACTAAATAAATTGTCAATGCAATGTCTCCCCCTAATGGACAAATGCGTAGCACGTAGTTGTAAACAATATCATGGCGAATAATCCTGTTTTTCACTTCGTAACCTTCACTGAGTGGTCATGATTTTCATTTACTGACGACAACTACGAAACAAAATTAAGCCTGCTAACAATACCATGCATTTGAAAGGAATTATGAAGCAGTAAATTGCTTTGGAATAATTGTACTCTTGCTTCCTGATCTTGAGAACTGCCAAAGGTAACCAATTAACCTCCCTGCACACAAACACATGCACGCCTCCCTCGTCTTGCTTTAAAGTACAAGATTATTATCAGTGGCATCCTAGATTACCCCGCCAGTTAAGGTGATTGTAAAGCCTCTTCTGCCAGAACCCATGGGGCCTTCTTTGTGCCCTTAATAAACTCTTATACATATATCAACAGCTATCCAATGCTTATAATAATACTATAAAATTAATAAACCATTTGTCTAATAGTTGATAATTACCCAAATTTGCATACTTGGCTTTCTTAGTTTAATATATTTGATGATTATTTTTTTTCAATTATTCATTTCCATGAGGACTGAACTGAATAACAACATCGAAAGTGCCACCTAGTGACAGGTATTGTTATTTTTCAATATTAAATATGATTCTAGTCAAT